TCTAAAACCAGCCTGGTTCTCACGCGTGCACCGTTCACGTGCGGTAGACAATCGGCGGAGTGTGATGCCAACGAGAAGTTTAGAGACGATGTTGATTAAACTGATTCCTCTGTGGTTTCCGCAAGAGGATCTATCACCTTTCTTGTAAATCGGTATGATGACCGACTCACACCATTTTGTTGAAACCTGTTCTCCCTCCGACTATGAGCCGGGTAGTTATGTTAACTCGGAAATGAAGGCTGAGCCTCCATCCCTAAAAGCAGACGGGGACAGCCTGTCTGGGCTGGGGGCCTTAAACCTTTTCAAGTAGCTTGTTTCCCGGGAATCCTCCATTACAGATGGTGGTCTGGCATCAACTGGGAGTATTTGCCCAGTCTAGGTGGAGGATGATAGTTCAGATGTTTGAAGGTGCCCGTTGAACTGAACCTCGAAATGTTCAGCCCATCGATCAAGACGGCGTTGCTGATCGCTGGAGTTCGCATGTACCCCTTCCTGTACATACCGAATGCATACGGATTACCGATCAAATGCGGATCAGATGGATGTGCTTCCGATGAACGATTCGGTGCTTAGTGTTCATTTTTCGTTTATAAAACCTGACCTTGGAATGATTGGATTCTGCTTCCTCTGCGAACACTAACAGTTCAGTTCAGTTTGAACAACCAATAACCATGCACTTTCGTGCGCCGGTTTTGGTGAATGTCTTTTGGCTGCCCATTTGAATGAAGAATAGGAGAAGATTGGAGAGCTAAAAGTTGAGTCGAAAAGAATATAGAGAATTTCAATGATCTAAGGTTGCAAACGCTAACATAGTGTGTACCACTCGCTTTTTTCGTAAACAAAACTGTTGACCCCTGATTCATACATATTCGGCTCACACAGATAGGGTTCCTACCTCTGCTACCAATCATGGTCCCATTCTGACGACAACAATAGTGAAATCTCTTGGTGTCACGCTATCACACAATTTATCATGATCACTGCACGTTATGCAATGTTCGAAAGCCTTCACACTTGTCACTCTGATTGAGAGTAATTCCTATTCCTCATAAGTTGATTGCTAGGTTTGTGAATGCTTGCATGCTCCCCGACTGGGTGTACTGTTCCCCAGTGAATTTCCCCAATGTGTTGAAAGAGGACGTATTCAGTGGCGTGATCTCTATAACACGCCTCCAGATGTGGTGGAACTGTCATGTGTAAACTTGCAAACTCAACTATGGGCAGACACCTACAATCATGTGAAAATTGTATTGCCAAAATTCTCTCAAACACTCATCAACCATTACACAACGAACTTTCAAAAGCAGTCAGCGTGTACGGCCTATGGAATTCTCCTCCGTCCCATGTACTGTATGCTCTTACAATTGACTTAAATCGCAACTTGATAAAGTATTGTAACACTTGAAATTTCGACATCCGTGAGTGCTCATGCAAATTGTTATTATTTCCTCTTCGTGAAGTTAGTCAAAATATTCTGTAAACTTCCTCTGGATACGATAAGCTTTAACTCTGTTAAATCGCCCATAATAAAACTTTGACTTTGACTTTATCATCCACACGCTCAATGTTCAAACTTTTCTTTCTACCTACTCTTTATATCGTAATTCTGTCTCGCCCTATCTAGCACCTCGACCTGTTTGCAGAGAATTCCGTAATTACTTGCTTCATTCACAAGGACGCTATCTACTGATTTCAATTTTATTTTGTATGACTTTGTAAAATTGTATCCCCAAATGTGGTTTAATATGCTGGGCGTATAATGTTACTAATGACTTGACTTGCTTAATGCGACGGGCATCCGAAAATCCATTGTCCGAGTTCAAAACACTGCGAGCACACACACACACACACATCACGCGCTGTCTATTTAGACGTCACGGTGCAATCTTGTTTTATGAGTCTGATCCGATTGTTCCAGGTTCGGACGGATAATTGAGCATCAGTCTACCGAAGCGGGTTTATTTGTGTAAGTTGGAATGTTTGGGAGTGGAAATTTCTGCAAAAGTGATCACGTAGAATCATATGTTTAGATTTCCATCTTAGAGCCATTCTTCGCATCTTTCGGCAAATCAGTATATTGACTTTATGAGTAGGATCTTGTTTACAATGAAGCCGTCGATTGTCTGTTCCAAGAGTTCTGGAGATTTTTTATCCATCTATATTCAGGGGTGAACTGTATTCTTCCCTGTTTCCAGTGTTTCTAATGCGCTTTAATCACTTTAGTCACTCCGGGATTGAGGAAACCACGTGGAGACCAACAGATGACGTGAAAACAAGCCATGCAGAAATGCACGAAGCGTTTAGAGAGAGACAGAATAGGCGTCTCGCGCCTTCCAGGGTTGGATACGAGAGACTCCTAAACCGGTTTGGTTGAAAACATCGGAGGATATAGCAGCGAACAATGTGTGTGTTGACCATGGAGGTTCACTTTCACTCCCCTTCCTCCCTCAAAATAGGTCCCGTCCCTGTCCACCGTACAGAACTTCGTATGCATTGCGAGTTAGGGCAGCAATCAGAGAAGTTCACTTCTCTGTATTTCGCATTGGACTCACAGTTACGTGTGTAGTGGTATGGGATGAGTGATATTGATTGATTTGAACTGACTATTCTTCAGACTTCACCTTCACGCACAATCCTCAGTTCATCGATTCAACCATGCACTCGGAAGCACTAGACTCGAGGTTCCCTCTCGTTAGAGCTCATCAGTAATACATCCATCGTCCCGTCTGGGATTGGAACTCCGGACCCATCGCATGAAAGGCCTGTGCACCACTGTGCCAACCAACTCACACCATGGCTGAACCAAATTGCCAATTCATGTTTGCTCAGGTGACGTCTTCAGTGGTAGTCAGTCAGTTCTTTAGACCCGATAGCAACAAAGAGAGAGACAGGTGACAATCTATTAGCTCCAATCCAGAGCCCACCACCAAGTCGGGGCTTCCATGCAGACCACGGGCTGATTTGCCAACAAACCTACAAGGCACAGTTGATTTTTCGCACTTAACTCACAGTTACTTGTGAGTAGTGGTGTTGGATAAGTGATATTTCGTTGTGCAATCGTGATCATGATCGTAATGTGTTTTCGTTTGTTCCAATACGACACCTGACAGAGGTGTTATTCACAAAAAGCAAATGACAACTGTTTTTCCGCTAGTTTGGTAACGTGCGAAATTCCTTATCACGTGGCCATTGCAGAATAATAGCAATATCATGTGGTGAATTTGTTATCACTGAATCGTGTCTTCTCATTCGGCACACTTCCTCCCATTCCACACATTCTCAACTCTGTTTCTATCGGACCATCAGCGGTGTTCACCCGATTCGTTCAGCTGGCCCGGTCCGTGTACACGGCCTATCGTCACGCGGAACAGATTGTGGTGATTCTCCAATCCGCTCGTTCTGTCCTCCCAATATTCGGATTCTTAGGTCTACTTCCCACACCACCGCAGCCGTCGACCGGTGCCGGGGCTACGGGCGAAACCGATTTGCCCGTGCCTCGGCGTACACCGGTGACCGGAACTGATCCCGTCCCGTGTTCACCGGAGCAATCGGTTCAGTCGTCCACGGATTGGCCCTCCGTGACTAATGCGGCCGCATTCCGATTGCACTTGAGACGAATGCCCAGTCTGCATCGAGTTGGATGGTTGAAAAAGTACTCGCGTCGTGGATTCCAACCACGTATGGTATTTTTGTTCGATGATCGAATGATATTTGCCAGTCGAATCCGGGGCACACCGTTCCTGTTCCTAAAAGTAAGTCATCTCTACAAGGATCGTATCCTGCCTCTTTCATTGTTTTATTTTTCAGTGGCATCCTTAGCGCATTATATTTGTTAACGTGTGGATACAGTGTCCAAGGCTAACGCGATTTCCCGATTTCTCTTTTTACATGTTTTTATTATTCGCAGCATTGCACCAATCTGGTGGGGCAACCGGACGAGCAGTGCTGAGATTCGACTCAGAGTTTTAGGTATCTGCGGCCGCCTGCTGGAGCAATTAGCCGATCTCCATCGATTACGCTGGTTGAGGCGTGTGTTACGCATATCACCAAATAAGTTGCCACACCGAGCGATGTTTGTCGAGGCAGGTAGTGGGTGGAGCATAGCCAAGGGTGGTCAAGGTAAGACCTGTCACGAGGCTGTGAAGACCGTAACCTGGTGACGCGGTTATATAGGTCACGTTAGGCTTCCTGGATGGGGACCCCGGGATCATTGTGATCAATGGTAAAGAAACACTGAGTGTCGTAAACACGCGTTCGTGTATCTTCTCAAATTCGTTACTATCTATGTCTAGTGGAATTCTCGATTTCTCTTCTACTCTGTTTCAATTTTCCTGTTTTTCTCCTACTGTTCTTTCAAAAGGACAGCAACCAAACCGGTTTACGAAAGTGCATGATTTTAATGGTTGTACAAACTGAACTAAAAACTATTATTATTCAGCCTATCCCTTTAGCTCTTTACCGTGGTTAACATAACTCTCATTTCGTTTGTTGCGCACTGTGTCCACAATGAATCAGCTGAGCTTTTTTCATAAATTAACTTTGCAGGTTCGTGAGATAAAGCTAAATACCTAGAACACGATAGAAGCCACATATTTGCATCTTCGCCAACTGATCTATAAAGGGAATATTTCCAATATATCGAATCATGTTTTATGGTTGTTTCTCTTCTGTTCACTATGTATACCAGAGTACCGTCAAAAGATCACCAATGGATCGTCGGCACAGAAAACAGTCCACAGTCAGTGACATAATTAGCCCCCGGGTTTTTTTGCAATAATTCTTCATTGTGGATGCTATTTCGGTTAATCGAGTTATGACCAAGTGGATAACTTAACACAAAATTTCATTAAAATTGTCTTGGACAAAAAACACAACTCACTGCAAGTGAGCACAACTTAGTTATGAATTCGTTTCGGTGACTCCCGACGGGTGCTTACTGTAGAAAACAAAATTTATGTATCACAATGAACAAACAGGGGAGGGACATTTTCGCCGGTAAGAAGAACCGAAGGAATGGAATACTTGGAGCTTCTTCCGGGCGGTGGGAGATGTCTGCGTACTGTGACCCACAGATTCTATTTAGTCCATGTTCCACCTGAGTTCTCGAGGCCATGAACTGATTGCGAAATGCGAACCAACAATCCAAGCACTAGCAAACAAGTCACTGAACCGAAACAGGAAGACTTTTTCTGACCGGTCCTTACAAGCCCCCGCAACTGGTTATTCGGTCATCTCCTTATCTGGAATGTATGCATCACCGCCTGGTGTGTAAGACGTTCCAGTCGAAGCTTCCGGTCACAGTTTCCGAATAAAATAAACGCTTCGTTAGTGTGGGCCCCGTGAAATAGGCTGTGTTCTGTAACGCAGTTTGGAAGCTCATCTGCCTGGTTTCTCCAGTATTAGGTTTATTTATCATTCATCATCCCAACTCCCACATGTCAATAGGTCAGGCACTAATGTCATCATTCTACTGACTGGTGTAATCTGGGATCATATGATGCCGTGGATACTACATTAATATTACCAGTATTACTTTACTTATCCACTACTTTGATCAGGCAATATGACAAATCCGTCTGGCTGGCATCAAACATTTGCCAATCTATTGGGTTCCGTGATCTTCAAAAGTTTTGTTCACTGTTTTTTTTCTCCCTACCCCATCTCAACCAAAATGTGGACTCAGATCCATGGGATCATCTCACTCAATTGTGCTTATGTGGTCAAGGAAAGTTTGTCCAGTTCGGATAATCCGAAAACGGACAATGATGACACTGCCACATTTGCCGTGGTGGCCGTGGTTGATGCTGTTCCCGCTTACACGGATGAAACGGCACCTGCGGCTAGTTCGCCCAACTCCCGCGGTCGATCAGCAGCTCAGACCCCGAGCGGCATTTTGCGCAGTCGATCGCGTTCAAAATCGTGTGCACGACGTCGACTTCGTCGCAAATTGTTATTCTGTGCCGCCGACGAGACATCACGGGATGCTTGGGTCACTGATATCAGCCGCTTGATAGAGCAATCTGTGGAATTTGGGACAGGAGGGGATGCTGATCATGATCTGGCGGTAAATAAGGTTCAGTTTAGACTTCCTGCTGGTAAGTGATTTCGATACGTTTCCTATTTTCAACCACTTACAACCTGTCTCGCTTTAAAAGCATGATCAATAAATTAGTTCTGATCTGAATGTTCCCCTCGTCTACACACACACCCTCCCCTTTGCAACATATCTTGGTCGCAACTCGCTTTACGTGTCGTAAAAACACATCAAGTATCCTATGAATGAATCGTTCCAGGTAGACCGTTTGTATTGTAAGCTGAGATTGTTGAAGTCATTAGCTTAGTCGAAACTGTTTCCGTCACGGAACTATGATCTTTTGTCGTTGCGCGAGAAAAATTTGATTCGCATAAATTGGTTTCCCGTACAAATGCATGCTTCGCTAGTCTGTTACGAGGGTTGCTCTTGTCTCAAATGCTCATCTTTCCTAGGCGTTTTCNCACATCTCAACTGCTCGAAGAAAAATACCTGCATTCATTTATTGACCCTTCAAAATACGTGGTTGATCTAGTCGAACAGAAATCTGTGCGGGTTCATTTTATGGGTTTTTTTCAGTCCAACAAATACATTTGCAGGAGTTTCACTGTCCGGAAAATCCGTGGCGTTTATCCACCCATCCACCATACGTCTCTTGTATATTTTTTTCTTAAATACTGCATATTGTACATTATCCCCCTCCCCGCCCACGGTGAACTATTACAGGTGTGTTTCGCTTTCGCGATCCGGATCTATCCGAATGGGTCAAAAATGAATTGGTTCAACATCAGCCCGAACCTCGTGCATCTAGCCGAGCCGGTAGTTCCCTTTCCGTTCACCTCGCACATTCCCTGACGCGAACACCCGCTGCGGTCGAAGTACCAGCGTGTTTGACAGATGCACTCCTCACGGTCTGTTGGCATCGACACTTGGGTGTCACACATACGCAGCTGTTGAATGCAAACGATGTGAGTTTCCAACTCGTGAACAGTCTCGTTTCAATCAGCACATTTTACCTGTATACATACGGACAATATATGTCGTAGTCTCTAAATGGTTAGATATATGATTTCCTTCCGAGCCCGCGGCCCCTTTTCTCTTTGATTTTTAATTCCCTTTATTGAATAGACAGATACGATTTTCAGGAATGGAGACGCGGACAGTCAGTGGGCTACCATACAACACAATGAGAATGTGAAGTTAGGTGGTGGCAGTAGTAGTATATATCTTCACTTTTGTTGAGTGGTATTCTCAGAAAGAATTTTTTACATTTGATGATACTAGGTTTGTTGCTAATTTTTTATCTCCCATTTTGGGTTTGGGTGTCTAAGGTTGTTTTATATTCACATTGGGTAGTTGTTTGGTCTATTTCTACCTTTTCGAGGAGAGTTCCGTTTTCTTTTTCCCTTATCTCTTCTTGTCGTGTGGGGCTTATGATTTGGTGGCGTATGTTTATTGTCTTATCTTTGTAGGGTTCTGGGATTTTGTTTTAGTTGTATAGGTCTACTTGATATGCTTGTTGGTGTCATATGATGTTGCCTTTTAGGGCAGCCCTGGTAGTTATGTCATTCTCCTCGAATTCTGAGATGGCGTTTTTTTATTTATTTTTTTGTGTTGTAGCTTTTTTATGATGAATACGAGTTAGGAGGTGTTGGTTACTATTTCTGGTTTTTTATTAGTGTCTATAACTGTTTCTGTTTCTATTTTTTACATGTTAATTATGGTTGGGGGCATTTTTTCACGGTTTTGTGGTTTTAGGTTGTTGGGTTTCATAGAGAATTTATTTGTTGAAGCTTTTGATGAGGTATGTTCTTCCTAAGGTTCCTGGTGGGTTTATTTTGACAGTTTAAAATTTGGATGACATAGTCTAATATAAAATTCCTATCTTACAGTTGGTGCATGGAGGTTTCTTGTTATTAGTCTACAGATGTGGAAGAGGGAAAATGGCCTAGTTTGAAGGTGAAATACATGCTCTGCAAGTATGTGGTAGAATTGTATGTTATTGTCGTTAGTTGTTGTTTGTAGTTTATTTGGAATTTTGGCTTGTCATGCCAAGGGATGATATTATACGAAATAATGTGGATTTGTTTTTGAAATTTTTATATTCGGTGGTGAGTAAACTTTTAGCATTTGTAATGGTGATGGTTTTCGTGGCATTTTTATTCTGTGAGAGATTGAGGTCTTAGATTGTATGTAAATTCGTAAGGGTCCTAACAAGCTTGGGTTAGTGGTGGTGGTGGTGGTGATGGGCCACCGCCGACCTTGGTGGTTCACATGCCACTCTTGAAATCTGTGGTTTTGAGTGGTAGGGGTAACGCTGCGATGCGATTTGGTAGATGATCATTTTGGACACATTTGGGCTTCTTTGTTTCTGAATTAGAAAGAAGTTTTCAATTTTTTGTATGTGGTCTCCTTTAATGAAATTACCTTTGTGGCTCCCAAATATTTTATTCGTTTCCCGGACCTCACCGGCCATTTGAATCTCTCGAAAATATTGCCACATTTTATATCTTTTAATCGCTCCAAATTCTTCCGCGTCTTTCCCCCCTACTACTAGTGTGAAATGAGTAGCTTTTTACTTCGTAAATTCAAGCATGGTACCGGCTGGCAGAAGTTGTGGGCCGTCCTGTCAGATCTGTCTCTTCTGTTCTATAAAACACCGGAGGATACACAGCCTCTAGCTCGATTGGCTCTCCTCGGCTACTCCGTCGAATTATTGGATAACACTGCCCCAGTCACCATTTCGAACGGCCCGTCAGGCAGCGCAGCAAAACGTACTGGCTCGGGGAAACTATCCACTTCGGTGCTGCAACTTTCACATGGATCTAAACAGTATCAACTTCGAGCCGAGACACAGGAGATCTTGATGAGGTATGAACATGTAACTCCCGCCACACACACACAGTTTTGTTCCATTCTCGCATTTTCGTAGCGAATCATTGGAATCCTCATTCATCTATTTTTTTCGTGTTTTGCTAGTCATATGTTTCATTTCTCATTTGAATCTGTCCCTCTTGATTGGATTATTCCTTCCCCTGGTCGGTTGGTCGAATGGTTTTGGTGTTTTGCCGTTGAACTACTGTTCACGTTCTTTTCTACTCCAAAGTTTTGAAGTATTCAATGCCCAACTCATTTTAAACTGTCTGCGATAGCTCACTTTGAATGCTCTCCCCCTGTCTCTCTCCGTGGAAATTTCAGCTGGTACCATGTTTTTTCCGCCATTCTGACTGGAACCCACACTTCGACCCGGTCCTCAACGAGCACACACTGGAACGACCTTCCGGTTCGCATGCATCGGTCGCTGTCCGCACGTTGTGGAAGCGCCGAATTGGTGTATGCGTGCGACTTGTCCTGTCGGGGGCACGAATCTCGTTCCGAAATCAGCTGATCACTACCTTGCATGGGACGTAATCCTGTGTATGTGTGTTTTTATATGGACACATCCTGGCAGGCTCACCTCCTTCATTCCGAACCCCTTTGATCTCGAGTGTGTGCACACACGCACATCTATCTAGCCGACTAATTTGGATCAGTGCGAGTTCCTTCTTGCGTTCGGTGTTTTTGTGGCTTTTGTATTCATCGCTCTCGTCACCGCCCAGCGCCCCTCCCTCTCCCGCGTATGCGTACATGTAGTCCAACTCAGATGCATTTAACTGGAACGCGTTGCTGAACTAGTATGTTTGCCTGTTCTTTATTTCCTTTCTGTACAGACTCCAACAGATTCTCTTTTGTTCAATACGTGCAATTACGTCGTTCTTTTTTCTTTTCTGTCGTCCGACACACACAGAGAGAGAAGAGCACTCGCATCATTTCTGTATTTTCTCTGTTGTCATTCATCTCGTGTTCGTGTTTTTTTCTTTTTTGTTTTTCTCTTTTTGTTTTCGATCTCCCCCGTCCCCGTATCGTTGGTTCACTTGTATAACACTTTCCTACTGAACTTGCCCGAGCTCCGTGTGGTCCTCCGACCACAACCCCGTTGTGTTGGATCGTGTGTACATACGATCGAGCAGTGCATTTTGTCAAGTGATACATACATAGTACTCTCCCTCGCCCTCTTTATTCTTATCCTTTCCTTATTATTATTATTAATAATATGATTATTATTCGGATAGAAATGTAACTATGTCGATCTCAGTTCGCCTGCTCCTCCTCGTTTGGTTTCTGTTTTTTTTTACTTGGCTTGGTGACGCACTCAAAATCGAGTGTGTTCAGATGTTCCTGGTTTGCAGGTTTAACTCCTGCGCCGTTTAAGTTACTGACGGTTGATAACAATGTGTCTGATAACAAACTGATTTGGGAGTGCAGCATTGTTCGTGACTAAGATAGTGTCTTACCTGTTAGTTATGAAAACCCTGGCTTCCCCCCTCCCGATTAAGTGTCAACTGTTATTCGAAGTCGAAACTGCTTATTTACTACTGTGGATGGATGGCAGAGGCTTGGTTTCCATTCAATTTGTATTTGTATAGACTTTTGCGAGAACAGAATGTTCACATTTAAGTCAAAAATTTACACACCTTATCAATAGAAGGAAAGATACAAATAAAACATTTAGCCTTTAAGGTTACTGAGAAATTCTGAGGAAGCGCGCTCTCGGTTTACAAGG